ATAAGAGACAGATATATATATAAACCGATTTTTAAAGGTTATATATCCATTATAGTAATAAATAAAATCTACTACTCACTGCAAGTGCCGCACATCTTGGGACAGCCATTGAGGACAAAGCCATGGGTGAAACATTGTGCAAAATACCAGCCAGCATTGCAGTAACTCGAAATGTCTTCACAAATTCCTAAAAAAAAAATGGTAGACAAATAATTACTGATGAGGATAATTATTGTAAAAATGACTATAGCTGAAAATATGCTCAGTTGATACAATAAATACTTAGAGAAGTATAAATTTAACTTTAACGTAAACGTTTATAAATTTGCCGCGTTACTAGAGAAGAAATAATTATTCCCAAATCATAAAACAAACATCCGAAGGTAAACTATAAAATATTCTATAAAAATAGAAACTATAGAATAGAAATTACATTGCTTATTTTTGTGGTAAAATTGTCCCATATTTTGGAACAGTATGGTAATAATATGATCTAGAATTGTGTTTTTGATGTGTGATAAAATAGATATGAATATATTATATTCATATCTATTTTTGTACTGGACGCAAGTGGTAATAAGAAAGAAAAATTCCATTAATGTACGTTATATATCTAAGACAAAAAAAAAATATATATATATATATACTAATTATACATATATATACATATATATGTATATATATGTACTGTCTCTTATACACATCTAGATGTGTATAAGAGACAGTATATATATCGGTAGAATAGCAGATATGCACAAAGTTTTAGGTGTGCAATACCTTTCTGTTGGAAAATTGTTTCACTTTAGTTAAACACTGTTTAAACGACAGAGTCCTCACCACCTTTTGACGTCGTTCTTACTTTTGGTACTTTGTAGTACATTCTCATATTACTATAAAAATTACTAGTGGTAACCTAACACTTTTTAACGTAAAAACAATTTAAATTAACATTTTCTTTATCAATGTCATCAATATTTATTTATTTATATGTATAACTTATATTTTTAATTATTGGTTTTAAATAGAGGCTCTACTTCCTTTTCCTTTATCATTTTTTTAATCTTCTTTCCATTCTTCATGTTATTATGTAGTTGTTTATGTATGTATTGCATCTTGAGCACATGTGGATAACAGTTGATTTCAACTGAAATGTTCACTCTGGTTAAATAATAACTAAATAATAATAATATTGTCATCTTGAAAATAAAATACCTTGATTTGATCATTTTGTTAAAAAAAGTTAAGTGTAATCATTAATATTTGTGACCACGTACGTTTACGTACGTACTTAACATTCCCTAGCAGTGTCGCAGTCAATTGTTTTGCGGTTTTATATGGAACACCAAAAGAATGACTTTCAAATACAGACGATTTTTAAGCACACTCCGTATTCAGTCACAGTCGGAATAACAAACACAGTCGATTTTCGTCAAGCCCTGTTGCTTAGTTTGGTTCAGTGGTATGAGAAAAGGTGATTTGCACAAACTGCAAGTTTAATAAAGCATATGTTTTCTATGGATAGTCACTATCGACAAAGATGTCTATCAACCACTTCATTTCTAATATCAACATTTAAGATCTGGACGCCGTCTAAGAACATCAATGTGTAGAACATCACGATTATCTCTTTTATACCGTTTTCTATCCGTATGCTAAACAAAACACCATCATTAACTTTAAACGTATACTCTGTAATTTATTATGTATAAGTAGGTTATGTCACAAATTTTATTATATGTATTGAGCTTATACTTGTTAACCTGTCCAGTAGATATCTTATAGTTTACCCCAGGGCCTAGTCATGATTTATAAACGAAGTCTCACAATGAGGCTTTGGATGTGCAATAGTTTTAGTCATGTCACCAGGAATTGTACCCAGGACCCTAGATTTGAAAGGCTACCTTTTTAACCAAGTTATTCAATTCCTCTCTACTTAGTTAAAAAACTGACAAATTTAACGTAGGCGAGCTACATTTTGACTATTTGTATACAACTTGGAAGCATACAATGAATAACTAAATAAAGTACACTCACCTGAGCAATCGTTCCCTACATATCCCTGTTGACACGTACATGTACAATTTTCATAATCCAATGTTCCACAGTTTCTACATTGCAGGTTACAAGCTATTGTGTACAAAATCGTAACTTTAACCATAAAAATATATAAATTTGCCTTAAATAATTCAAATGTTTAATTACAAATGTGTGAAACATTATTGTGTATGTTCTTTAAAAAATTATACAACTTAAACGTTATTTTTTCTTTTTATTGCGTACGGTTGTCATTCACAAAATGGTTTTTAAGGTTATATTTCTAAAATGTCTATAGGTGCTTTTGATCATAGGCGTATCCCGGTAAACCATGACGTTTTAGCTAAACCAACACTTATTGCATATGGCTTGTCTATTCTTTGCTGCAAAAAGTGTATACCGCAGTGCCTAACTTAGGCAATCTAATCTTTCCGTCTAGCCTTTACAAAGCTAGGCCTTAATTTTAGTCTTTTTAACAGCACTCCTACATCTTTCTCATACAGGAAACTTACTGATTCATTGCACGTTAACCATTGTAATTATGTATTTATATTATATGGACATTATACCTTGAATAAATGAATGAATGAATAGAACTGATTCGTTATTATCTTATTTTAAAAATGTGTACTTACTACACGTTTCGTTGTGAACCGAGCATGAGCCTGGAATTAATTTAAAATAGTGCTTAGCATTATTATATGATTTCATTTCAATAGAATATATAAAATAGTGTTTCGTAATAATAACACCAATAACAATAACTACGGTATATAGTATTACTCCTAATAATATTACTAATGAAAATAATAATATTGATTCGTATTAATAACACCTATGACAACCATAAACATTTAAAATAAGAATAACATGAATAATAATAATAATAACAATAATAATAATAATAATAATAATATGAAAAACAGTAATATTCCTGATAATATTAATGAAAATAATAACAATAATAATATAAAACATGATAATAATAATGCATAATGATAGTGATGACGACGACGATGATGATTATAATAATAATAATAATAATAATAATAATAATATAGTAATTATAATAATACTAATAACAATCCGTCTTTGGCGGTCAAAGTGTAATAATAAATATAAAATAGTAGGCCTAATACAGTAATTCAAAAGTGCCTTTCATAACAGGGATGCAATGAGCAGTATATTTTATAATAATATTGTTATTTATAATTCAACAATTTTTTATGTTAATCGTGTAAAGCATAATGATAAAATGCGATAGTAACTATACTACAAGCTTATAAATATGGCAGGCAAATAAGCAACTCGCTCTAGATTCAGATGTTTCAGATTTACTACTTACGACATTGGTTGTTGTAGCATTGCCTGGCACCTGAAGGACATTCAGTACCTGTCTCTTATACACATCTAGATGTGTATAAGAGACAGATGTATAAGTAGGTTATGTCACAAATTTTATTATATGTATTGAGCTTATACTTGTTAACCTGTCCAGTAGATATCTTATAGTTTACCCCAGGGCCTAGTCATGATTTATAAACGAAGTCTCACAATGAGGCTTTGGATGTGCAATAGTTTTAGTCATGAGAAAAAGTCATGTCGTACCAGGAATTGTGCCCAGGACCCTAGATTTGAAAGGCTACCTTTTTAACCAAGTTATTCAATTCCTCTCCACTTAGTTAAAAAACTGACAAATTTAACGTAGGCGAGCTACATTTTGACTATTTGTATACATGTATATATATGTATATATGTATATATGTATATATGTATATATATATATGCATATATATACGTATATCTTATACTAATATATATCATATAACATATATATAATATTATATATCATATTTATATCTAGTCATATATATACATTTTATATAACATACCGTATATAATATACCATATATTATATAAAACATATATATCACATATCATATATATCGTATTATATATCACATCATGTATCATATCATATTATATTAAGCATAGAGAATAATGGAAATTTGTTTTAGAACCAGTCTCATTAACATTGTTGAAGGATTTGAGATTATACAAAACATGTTTGAATAAGACAAAACAGTAACTTAAATTACATCCATAGGCCCAATTTACGAAAGGTACGTACGAAGGTCCATAGTTACATGTTATGATCCAAACATTAGTAGCTCCATCGGTTGTGCTGCTGCAGTAAGATAAACCGCATCCAAGAGCGTGTGAGTCGGCCCACACAATCTATAAATAATAATCATTTGTTTACAGAATGTGATTTCTTACAAAATAATCTTTGTAAAGGTAGTAAAACGATTTTTATTCAATCATCTTTACACTAGGTTGGGATGTAATTTTTTAGCTTACTGTGATCTGGCTAAATTCCTCAGCAGAGACGGCACTGTGGTGTTTTCTGTAGTTTAGTATAGGGCCCAACTCCCATACATTGATTCTAGATAAGTAAACTACAAAAATTATTTTCGTAGCTACTCATCTAGAATCAAGAACCAATTAAACACTGCATTTTAAATCAGACATTGATACAAAAATAATTTACCTGTGTGTAATGTCCGCAGACCCTATTTGTTTGACATTCCTTGGTTTCGTAGGTATAAAATTGGTACTCATTGTACCAAGCCTGTGTAGCGGCTACCCCATTAGCGCGATTGTCTGGACCTCCTGATGTTTGGTATAGATTTTGTCCAATAGTACTGTAAGGCGAGATGTTACTTGGTTGTCCGTGGTTAAAGTTGCACATGTCGGACCACTGTTGAGCCATTGTTGCAAGATCGTCATCCCATATCTGCAGGTGTATTGACAATTTAGTATTGTTTGTTTTATCTAAGCAAATCTTTTAACATATATTACAAAGTCAGGTATCAATGTATGCTAGATATGTAACATGGACATTAAAAAGCAGGCTTATGAATTACACCAACTTTGCAATTATACAAAGTAACATTTTGGAGAATTTGTTTGAAATGCTGATTAGGCCTATTTTTACAGAAAGATCCTATCAACTTTGTGTGCTCAACCTTAAGGTAATTCACTAAAAATGGTATACCCTAAACAAAATAAACAAATGAATTCATTTTGTCAATGTTAATGAGGTTGATTATTATATTATTATAATAATGTCATTGTGAATTTGAGTTGCAAACGGTATGCGACCAAGTTTTGTTGAAATGAGTATCAGAGCATCAGAAAATTATGATTTTTCTTTTCAGAGACCGTTAGAATAATATCTATTTTGATGGATGATAAATTAATTTGACTCACCATAAACTGCATATCTGAAGCCTCTGGAGAAACCTGTGACCGGAGAGCATTGTGTTTGTCAAGTATAGCCTGCGATTCGGCTTCCGAAAAACCAGTTGAACGCCTGACCCTGGAATGTCCCTCACCTGATGTTTTTACGTTTACTGCCTTTTCTGTATCCTTGGTCACCTGATGGTTTAAATCTATAACACCGACTGGTGTTCTGATGAATTTATCTTCAGATAAACCTTTTATTTCAGATAGGCCTATTATGTAAAGTGCGAGGATCGTGATTATACAACTAAATGTTTCCATCCTAAACGTGTACGACGGAAATTAAAAAAAAAGATATATTATGATAAATAACATCTCTATAGTAACAGTCTAGAATAAACATTCCTAAAATGTGTCTATTTTATAATAACAATCATAATAACAACTCAGGGGATCGTTTCAATACATTTTGCCACCTGGATATTCTTGCTAATTCCCCTTTTCCACTGCCAAAGTCAGAATAAACCCGTGTTTATTCTGGAGTGACTATGAAGGCATTTCCCATTTACATCAAACGAAAAAGTTCGGGTTTATCTCGAGTAGCATCCATTTTACACCGCAAACGATTGCGGGTTCTAATACCACCCTCAATTTCTGTTGCGATGGTAATCGTCACTTCGCTCGAGTTGTTGCAAATTGAGTTGGAGCCCAATTATTGTCAATATTTAATATTAATGTATGGGCGGAACTTTCGAGATTACGAGCACTTGTTTCTTAATATGCGAATTAAATCAGCAATTTTGTTTGTAAGTCTATACGGAAGCGTTTCCGGTGTGCACCCTGGCTGCACATCGATCCAGGAATGTTTACAACCAGAGTCGTACTTTTTAACGTTTATAATAACCACAACTCGAGAGTTTCTAGTCCAGGTATTGAAAAAATCTCTGGTTATATCCACAGTTTCGCTTTATGTGTAAAAGAGGTGTAAGATTCGCCAAAGAGACAGGTTAAGTGTAAGCACATGTAAACCTGTGTATTACTGTATCTAAATAATTTTAAACTCTGAAAAACAGATACCCGAATGCCTATATTCTTGACTAATGAATTACTTATTGGCTATGGTTGGTGGGATTTATTGCCACTTAAGAATACATAAATCATGCATGGAATAATATAAACAATATTATTTTGCTTCTTATTGGTGAGAACTCCAGGGTTATTTGTGTTTAGGCAAAACCATGGTGAAACTATAACACAAGTGCATTGTGTTTAACGTATACCCTTTAATACAGATCTTAATAGATCAGAATAATATGATAATCGAATCCACTGAAGCGATGCTTTGATAATCAAACGCCGAAACTAAATAATAATTATCACTAATGATTCCATCGAATCGTATTGTCATGAGGATTTAAAGAGCTATTGTTAAGATATTAAACGTTTTCGCCAGCATATTTCATTCTATACTTTATACTCTATAGCTCTTCAGATATATATATATATATATATATATATATATATATATATATAATGTATATATTTTATTTTGGCAAGAAACAATACAAAATAAATAACATCAACATTTAGTGCTTCACATTGTACTGTATCAGTAACAGCAACAATCACAAGTTTTAGTATGATTATATGTGAAGGGATGAATAAAGAAGTTCAAGTCTGTTATGGCAATTTTTATACTTCAAGGGCTCCATTTCAATCAACATCTAGTCTAGTGGGCTAGGCGTATGCCTAAGTTTCAGGAAATTACTCGGCTCCTCTATTTAGCGGTGCCTCTATCCATAGACGGAATTAAGTCTCGAAAAGTGGTTACTTCCACATAACGTAGCCTGATGGTGTAATAATAGGCTATACTGTTACAATTTTAGGTGGTTAAAAAACAATATGTTAGAATAACAGTTGGCTTTGGCTCTGGGTCAGTCGCTATTGGCCTTTCGGATACAACTTGGTTGTACCGGTATGCTAAACCTATAGTTCTACTCGGTATGTCGGAGGTCTTGGGGTCAATTTCGACCCAATAAATGGAGCTTTTTTTTTCTAAATTTGAATACTGTTTTTTTTTCTATATAACGTCTTGATTTAAATAAAAGTCCATTCCAATAAACTTCCCTTCAGAGCATTATTTGGAATAAACGCTTCCTTCAAATAAAGGCCCTGGGGTTTTCCTCGAACAAACGCCCAGTAAATACTGTAGAAGCAACGTAATTCTCAACTCAACACATTTTATTTAATGTTCTACTTCGGTAGAATTACATTTTTTTTTCTAATAGTGTTAGGATCAATAATCTTTTTTATGATCACACACAACAGTTTGTCTGTAATGTGTTTAATTTACAGTGAAATTAATTTGCGTTTATTTGTGTGTATGTATCCATTTTACACCAACAAAAATAACGCTCCCTCTGGTAAACGCCTCCCTCGAATAAACTTCCCCTCGAAAACCCTTCTCAACAATAAAAATTTATTTGAGTCATATTAGCAAAATATTCAATGCGACCAGGCTGCATAAAATATCGTATCATTCAGGAATTGTTTTTTGGGGATGCGCATTCATGAAGGTCAGAGAACAACATTGTGCTTTCGGGCGCAATTAGTGTAAATCTGATTAGAATGTAATCGACTTATTTAGATATACAATATCCCGGGATTTGAACCCACGTATATTTTCATGGTTGATTGCTGGCAGGTAAATAGAAATGTAGGGAATTTTGTAAGCTAAAAAATAGTTTCTAGATTATCACAGCTGAATTAATTAGTTGAGCATAAACGTACACCATGTGTGACGCCAGAATTTGCCGACGGTGGATTTTAGATTCTACTAATGTATATATAGAATATATATACTAAATAATACAAATACACATATAATTTTTTCTTCTCTTCAACGAATTTTGATTTTGTTCCCGATGAGGGAGAGGGGGTTGGGTTAGCACTACCCGATGTAGGATGTGGCCCTGCCCCTTTCTGGCGCTATCCCAGACGTGTGCTAGAGTTTAGGAAATTAATATAAACTGTACTGTAAGTATTGTCTGCTATCTTCTCTTTTGTAAAAATGTCGATACTATGTTTAAGGACATGAATACTTAAGATTGTGGTATCGCAAACTATTGCTGACTTTTATCATATATATTTTTGAATTATAATTTAGAATTATTCCAAATTGCCTAAAGTGAAACATACAACGTTTATATTAAACACTTCCTAATCTAATAGACTGTGTAGAAAGAATTGAATTAAAATTAACACAACAAAACCAACAAGATTTAAGTCTTCGTTCCGCAACCTCTTCAGCCCTCGTCCCAAATCCAAATATGTGACACTCAGCCGCGACTCATCGACCTCAGGTCAAATTATCCTGAACTATACCGACCAAATTTATGAAGATGTTGTTATTATTATGAATAGGTTTGCCTGCTTTTATAGTCACTATCTTCAGTCCATTTTTTCCTTACATTATTAAATTTTGTATTTTTTGTCTTTAATAATGAAAGAATTATGTCAATTAAAATGAAAAGGTGGTGCAGTAATATTTATTCATTGTTATTTTGCTTTGATATTCCAAATTCGAGTCAAGGACGTACATTTACATTTTTACCACATTCGAGAGATATCGGTGTTCACTGGAATCACGTAATTTTATTCTTTTTTTTTAGTAATTTCATCTTATATTGCTTAAAAGTTTAGTTGAAGAGGAATATTAATGCAATAAATTATCGGAACAAGTAATTCTTTATTCGCGAAGTTGTTAGTTACAAGCAGTTTTGTTAACACCAAAAACCTTATTCTGTACCATTTTAAAATTCAGAATAATTTTCTCTAATTTAAATTAAATTTCGAAGTGTACATTGTACAACGATCTTGTATCTCACAACAACAATGACCATCACATGTAATACACAGACTGTTAGTGTGATGGTTTCATCAATCCGGCTTTGGAGCAGGGATATAATATGCAATCATCAAGTTGTCACACAGGGTCACTGTTTGTAGTCCGTATCGATATTTGTACTTAAGATGTGTAATTATTAAAAATCCAGTGTCACACATCAACGTTGTCGTGAACGACATTAGAAACTTTGTCGCCACTTGTGTGATGCCTGGACACTCATTTTTAACTTTTATCTAAAACTGTTACCAATGGCTCTTGTTCAAATTAATCAGAAGAGGAATGTATTCTCACACTAAATGCCCAGCTAACTAAAATGCATCGGGGCTCGGTTGTTAGGCATCATTTTTTTGTTTATCTGGAGCGATTGCGCGACCCATCAAAATTTCTTCACGACCCAAACATTGGGTCGCGGCCAATAGGTTGCGGAACGGAGATTTAAGTAATAGAACTAAGGCTTAAGCTATCATTGGTGTACCTGCAATGTCTCCAAATGAAGTCAAGTAGTCTGTTACCTAGCTTTAGCCACCATATAATCAACATGTTTAGAAAAAAAAATACCAAAATCCTTATGAACTAAAACTTTCTCAAGATAAATGTTATTAGTTTTGAAATCAAAATGAAAAGTTTGTTTTTCTTGAGAGTAAAAGATATAGACTTACATTTGGAGACATTGACAGACTACCGCAGCT